CGGAAATCCCTAAGTGACGAGATTTAATTGAATTTGAATAAGCAAATTGAATTCAATAATTAAATTCTTCCTTCATTGTTTTTTACAATTTTTTTATAACAATTAAATAATAGCCTTTAAATATTACATATTTACTATAATTCTGCCGTCCTGATGAAGAAACTCGTCTTCATTTTAAAAAATCGAAAAAGTTCAGCACTCATCAAGTGTTAGTGTAAATTACTAATTTTTTCTAAATTTTCCATTTTAAAATAATTTTTTTTAAATACGCATAAGCCATAATTATTTGTAGAAATGTCTAAAAAAATTTATATTTTATTTCATTTTTATATAGGCGAATTTTCATTTGACTAATTTTCTATTTGATCGAATTTAAATTGGGGAAAATTTCCATTTGAAAAAATTTTCATTTAACCAAATTACCATTATTTATTTTATTTTAATTTTTTTAATGTTTAAAAAAATTTTATTTCAGGGAATAATTACTTAATGTTTTTATTAGTTATCCAAAAAGGTCTTGCATTTTTAAAGAAATAAATTACGGTCAATTGGGGTAAATGTAAATGAAATATTATTTTCCACCAAAAAACTGGAAATGTAAACAAGATTGTAGTTTAAGTTAAGATTGTAGTTGAAAGAGGTTTAAGAGGAATTTATTTCAAGTTTAGTCCTGTATTAATGGATGGAAAAGCTGATAAAAAATTCTTGGTACATGTAAAATCATTCAACCAATTGATTCATATGCATTACATAAAACCAAAAGTCAACCACGCCAAAAGTAGTAATGTAAAAACTTTAAGAGCATTTGAACCTTCGTGACGTCACAAATCATGGCGCATGACACGCAAACTTCTCAGGTATGTGAAAAGCACAATTTTGAATATTTTTTAAAAAAACCTTTTGGAAAATGTTCAGAATAACATAGACTTTGTCTGTTATGTGCGGAAAATTCAAAATTTTGCGTTTAAAACGTTTTTTAAACAATGTTAAGTTCACAAATCATGGCGCATGACACGCAAACTTCTCAGGTATGTGAAAAACACAATTTTGAATATTTTTAAAAAAAACCTTTTGGAAAATGTTCAGAGAAACATAGACTATGTCTGTTATGTGCGAAAAATTCAAAATTTTGCGTTTAAAACGTTTTTTAAACAATGCCTACATATAAGCAATTCGTGTATTTTTCCTTACTTGTGACAACCAACTTAAACATTGTTTAAAAAACGTTTTATACGCAAAATTTTGAATTTTTCGCACATAACAGACATAGTCTATGTTTCTCTGAACATTTTCCAAAAGGTTTTTTTAAAAAATATTCAAAATTGTGTTTTTCACATACCTGAGAAGTTTGCGTGTCATGCGCCATGATTTGTGAACTTAACATTGTTTAAAAAACGTTTTAAACGCAAAATTTTGAATTTTCCGCACATAACAGACAAAGTCTATGTTATTCTGAACATTTTCCAAAAGGTTTTTTTAAAAAATATTCAAAATTGTGCTTTTCACATACCTGAGAAGTTTGCGTGTCATGCGCCATGATTTGTGACGTCACGAAGGTTGAAATGCTCTTAATAACTTCAACAAAGTTGAATGGATTTTCATTGAACTTTTGTAAATTTAAATTTTACATTTAACAAATAAATTATTATTTTCTTTTAAATTTCAATTAGTTTCAATTTGTATAATTAATTTTACTAAAATTTAATGGCAGTAAGTATTAAAAAATTTATAAAAAATGAATTACGTGATTTTCTTGTCTCTCTGTAAATCTTTTTCTTTTAATAGTAAACTTAAATATTCTAATGAATAAAGAATAGATTTTAAACAAGTTTTCTCTTACTATAGAAAGAAATCCTTTAAAACAAATAATAAAACCAAAGATAAAAGGATTTCTTTCAAGTTAAAAAACATTGTTTTCTCAGTCTAGGTTTGTAGGTGCTGTCGCAGTCCTGCTTTAAGGGGAGGTTCCTCTGGTTTTGATGTTTCTTTCAAAGATTTTTTTTATATTAAAAAAACTATTGGTTACTTAAAATTTTTTCATACGAAAATACATGTCTTAAAGTAATCGAAAATAATATAATTTTTGTTTTTTTCAAAATGGCGTCTTAAAAAATGGTTGCCAAAGGTGGTCCTCTTTAAAAGTTTGTCACTCTCCCATTTCAACAATTTTTAACCAATTAACTTGAATTTTGGACAGCATGTTCCTTGAATGTGTAGTTTTTGTGTGGACTACACGGAGAGAAAAATCTGCCTTTTATAGTATGAAATAGATTGCTGCTATTTTTCTTTAAACTTTTCATACTAATAGAGCAAAGATTTGAGAATTTTTAGCATGAAACTTGTCTATGCTAATAAAGTTTGTCATATAGCCTCTTATTACATACTTATTATACTTTTAATCCAACGGCGCCATGCGAAGATCGCACATAACATCATCCTACTATGTTTGCATAAGTTCTATGCTTTTTCGGGGATAGACTCTTGCAACTGGCGATTAGGCCAGTTCCAATTAAGTAAAGGTGGGCGTGGCCTAATCGCCAGTTGCAAGAGTCTATCCCCGAAAAAGCATAGAACTTATGCAAACATAGTAGGATGATGTTATGTGCGATCTTCGCATGGCGCCGTTGGATTAAAAGTATAATAAGTATGTAATAAGAGGCTATATGACAAACTTTATTAGCATAGACAAGTTTCATGCTAAAAAGACATACGATTGTACTATAATTACTCAAATTTCATGTCTATATAGCATAGAAAATTTCTGTGCATTAAATGTAAACCTTTCTATACTATAAAAGGCAGATTTTTCTCTCCGTGTAGGATTTTAAAAAATTCATTAATATTTAAAAAAAGTTATAAACAATTTAAGTAGGACAATTATGGTAAAAAATTTAAAAGTCTGTCATTCGGCTATTTTTCAATAAATATTTCTGATTCTAGTCAACACGAAAACTACACATTCAAGGAACATGCTGTCCAAAATTCAAGTTAATTGGTTAAAAATTGTTAAAATGGGAGTGTGACAAACTTTTAAAGAGGACCACCTTTGGCAGCCATTTTTTAAGACGCCATTTTGAAAAAAACAAAAATTATATTATTTTCGATTACTTTAAGACATGTATTTTCGTATGAAAAAATTTTAAGTAACAAATATTTTTTTTACTAGAAAAAAAATATCTTTGAAAAAACCATCAAAACCAGTGGAACCTCCCCTTAATGTTGTTTAGCTATATTTAATAATAATGAAATATTTCTTACCTATATGATTCATTCTTGCATTAACGGTATGAACAGTTCAATCAGTCTCCCAGATGTTGGAAAGAGGAACGATTGCCAAATCTCCCATGAAGATAGGAAGAAAAAATCTTTGATGTACGACTCGTTGCATATGAGGCACTCTGTATGCCATACCGTTATTGCGTAAAGCTTGACCAATAACTCCAGCAATTATTACTCCTTCAAGATTTTGATACAAAATCTTTTCTATTACGTAAAATCTGGAGTCGTTAGTGAAAACAAAGTGGTTGCAAAACTTTCGGTTTTTATTCTCAAATTTCCTGAATTCAGTACCATGCATGCAAGCCTTTCTGAAGACTTGTACGTTACTTCCGGGATTGATCATGTGTCCAGCTACTCTTATTAATTCGATTTCCTCTTCAAGAAGATGACGTTCAACTGATTTCCCCAATCCCAAAAAGTAAAGCGCTGGTGGCATTCCTTGTGCATGATGAATTGGTAACTTTAAAAGTCGGCAAATTTCTGCTCTGGTGACATCTGCTACTGGTATTTGCCTTGATGCAACGACAACAAACTTTCGCATAAAAAATCTCGTGATCACTTGGTCTGCTTTGTGGTTTGGGCTTGTTATGGAGTCAGTAATTCGTCGGTTTGCAGATTCGAAAGGTAAAGACGAATAAACCCACAAGGGACCCCACTTTCTAACACAGCTGACAAGGTGTGTAAGCAAATGAACATTGTAGACCATGTTTCGCATAAAGTAATTGGTTTGGTATTCCTTCACAAATTCTTTGAGCAAATTTTCAGCAATGTCTAATTCACCTACCCTTATGGAATCGGAATTGAGGATATAAATCGCTTTAACCAGTTTTTCTAGGTGAACTAAATATTTTTGGTCTAATATTCCTTCGAGACATGGGAGGGCGTAATAAAGCAACCAGTTGCGCCACTCGGAGGCTTTCCACATCTTGTACAATCTTATGCTTCGAGGTGTTCTTGATATTCTTGTCGGAGGTTTGAGCTTTAAGAGTTTGGCATCAATGGCTGCTATTGAATCGGGATTTCCAATATACCATTCTTCATCTGCATCAGTCAACCATCGTACCACCAAACGTTTCGCAACTCCGAGATAGGTGTTGTGAGCGCAATCAACTGGAACATTTTCGGCAATATTAAATTCTGGCACTATCGATAAACTTGAAACGCCTTTCACACCATTGACTGTTCTTCTTGTTCTAATTGCAACAAGTCCATCTTGAATTATAGCAGCGTGTGTTCGCAATTGATACTCTCCGTTTCTGTAGACCCAAGTGTTTTCAATCATTTCCCCTTCTGCAAGACAGTACGTGCATCCACATCTACCGTTAAATCTGGTCATTCGTAAAACGTCGGGCCTTGCAACTGAATCTGCTATAAATATTATTGTTATAAATTTACTTATTACATCTTCGTTTCCCTTTCTCCATCGAATTCCATTTGTGTAGAGTTGCTTCAATTCGTCGCATATTGGACGTAATATGGCGTTCATTGAAGGATGAGAGTTTGCTACCCATAGGCCCGCCAAAAACATGTTTTGTTTTCTCGCATGAGGTGACAATTCGTTTAATTGTAGAATAACTGGATATGTTGTCGCAGGCGATGATTTTGTCAGCTTGATTCCATCAGTCCATGCAGTTAAGGAAAGATTATTTTCATTAGATAAAAAATTTCTTCTATTTCTTAGGTTTTTGTAATTTTCACCATCGAAAATATCTTCAATACCGTCAGGGTTTTTTTTTAATTCTTCTATCTCGGTATGTTAATGCGTCAGCGATGTTTGGAGTTTTAAGAAGATCTTGTAATTGCGGAGTGAGTCCTATATGTACAAACGTTGCTATGTTGGTTCTATCGAGCCCTGGGCCACACGTTCCACAGCGACACACATTTTCAACTACATCCGCAGTCCCTATTCGATCTTTACATTTTGAGCAGAATAACAGATACCTCAAATTCTCGTCATGACGACCAAGGACTTCCCACAAGGCTGGTTTAGTTGTAGGTAAATTAATGTACCTGTATGATGCTTTTACCCACTTTAACTCGTCTATAATTTGCTCGTAAGTATTGCAATATCGTACTGTTCGACTTACTAAAACCAAGAGATGATCAATCGCTCTGATATCGTAGTTTGCTTGTAACGGGACACGCATACCTCGAGTGTTTATTCCGCTGAATATCGTTTCCTGACGACCTTCTCTAGCCGGTTCTTCATCGATATTCTCATTTACATTGAACGCCATATTATCATTCAATGGCCTCTGATTTTCTTCCGCACGATTTGCTTGATCTTCTTCAACCCTCCCATTCTCTCGAGCTCCATCATTTTCTCGAACAAGTACAACATCAATATCATCATCATCGTCATCACTTCTTACTTCTTCGTCGTCACCTAACCTTTCTTCATCCTCATCTTCATTATCATCTAGAAAATTATCTTCATCGTCACTATTGTCCAGTTGATCCATTTTGTGTAATAGTTTTACGATTCAAAAGTTGCTGAATTCTTTTCGTTTTATTCTGCAAAACCATTAAAATTCTCAATGTTAACAAGCATTTCATATTATATATAATTTCTGTGACTGAATGGTATAACAGCATAATTAAATTTTTTTTATCAAATTTGAGTTAATATTATATTCGTGTATATTCAGTAACACTTTTTACAGTTTCATAACTGTTAAATCCTTTTAATAATCATTTTCCGAAAAAAATAATTAAAAACCTGATCGTAGAACTGCATTATGGTCAGCAACAGACCGGCATGAAAATTAAACTGCATTCAGATTGAGAAAAAGAATAAAAAACAATTGACGTCTTCGAAAGTATTTAACAAATTTATGTCATTGAAAATAGACCAAATGACAAATAATGTCATTCATTTAATAAATGCAAACTGATAGTGTCAAATATCAAACACGCCTCTTTATTTTATGATATTAGAGAAGTAAAAGGAAATTAAGACGATGTAAATCAAAAAACAGTAAAATTAAAGTTACTTTACTTTTCTTAAAGCAGCAATCACTTTCTTCTTGTCAATGTTTTCAGTAAAAAAAGTAGTCCTGTTAAAAAAATTAATATTTTTAAGTAGAATAATACTTTTAGGCGCAAGTTCTTCAATAATACTAAGTTTGGTCCGCTAAAGTTGGTCCAACTATGGCAATTACAAATGCTCATGGTTGGGCAAAGTTTGTCTGCCAACTATTTGGTGAACCTTAACCAGAGTTGGGTTCACCAAATTAGAAGCTTTTATTGGTCAAACTTTAAGACATAGTTGGCCCTACGATTGACAAAACTCTGGGAAAAGTAGTTAAAAAGACTTTTAAATCTTTATTAGCCAAACTATGGACCACGGATGGTACAAAGGTTGGCAAAACTTCGGGAAACTTAATTTAAAAGACCTTTAAGGTTTGGTCAAACTATGAGCTACGGTTGGCCCATTGTTTAGAAAAAATTTGACTTCAGAAAAGGCTCCGATAATATTTTAATTCATCGATATTATTGTTGTTTAAAGTATATAACTTCTTCTTATGATATTGAGTTCATAAATTTATAATATTCTTTGAAAAATTAATGAAACATTTTATTTGTCAATATCTTTTTAAAATAAACTTGAAATTCTAGAAAAATTAAAATTTTATTTTCTGTCATACAAATTTCTATAGATTTTTATTTCCCTTATGTTATATTTCCCCCTTTTTCAAGAAAAGCAAAAACAAAGATTGTAATTATGTAAATATCCGTGGTTCTTCTGGGAAGTTATTTGGATGAAAGTTGCTTTAATTCAAAAACACCCTAAAGATGACAAATCAAAAAGTTTAGAATTCCTCCCCCCATCAATTTTCAAAATAACCTCGAAAACAACGCGGACATTCGACAAAGTGTTACCTTTTCTAAAAACACGATTTTTAATTAATAAACCGATTTCTTTACGAAGTCAATAGTTGTCTGTTACTTTATTAAGTTATTTGAGGTAGAAAAAATCGAACAAGTGCGATAAGGTACTCGCTTTTTTGGCGTTTATTAAATTAATTCAAATTTTCTATTTTTTCACAAAAATCGCTGTAAAGATCGACACTAATCTCATTTGCTATACATTCCCTGTAATCTGCAAGTAAATAAAATGTAAGTATTAGAGGTGAGCAAAAAGCCTGAAAACCTGGGTCCGGTCGGGCTGAATTTTTTTTTAAGTCGGGTCAGATTCAGGTTTTTCAGGTTATTGAAACCACTCGAATTGACAAAAAAAAAGTTTCGAGTACTGCTTGTGTCGAGAAAGGTTAAACGCGGCTTGTGTAGCATTTCAGTCATCGAAAACTCAAAATTTTTGTATGAATAAATAAAAGTAAATTTTTGAACAATAAAAAATTTCAAAAATCAGAATGCATTCGGGTACCCGAAAATTTCGAGTTTATGAAAACAACCCAAATTTGAAAAAAACATCAAATAAAATGTCTAAAACACGTTCTAGAGGTGTCTGAGGCGATCCACTAGGAATAGGATAGGTAGCACAACCTTATTTATAATTTTTATTCTGTTAATTAAAAAAACCAAGGTTACCTGATGCCTTTACATTTTTAAATTATAAAACTACTATAGTAATTACAGTATTAGGCTTCGGTGAGTGAGATAGAGTTGTTTGGTCACTAAGAGCATTCTATATTTTCATATACAATATATGTAAAAATAGCATCTTTTCTGTACATTTGATAAATTAGGTAAGTTATAACTTTAAACGCTGCGAACGCGGTCAATAAATAAAAATACAAATTTAATATAAATATTACAAAAATTTTATTTAACATAAAATTATACACGTACAATGAACATCTTTAGAATTATATTATTAGATTTAAAAACAAGCATTTGAAATGAAAGTACATGTCTTTGTAAGCTTTAAACAACATTTTGTTTTTGACATTTAACAGTGTTAATTTAAGGGGAAATCAAGACGTCGTTTTGAGCAATATGAAGTAATTAATAAAAAATTTACATTAAAACAAATTTAAAATAACTTTATTGCAACTAATTGAATGGAAATAAAAAATTAAAGCACACAATTTTTTGACCATTTTTCAAAAATTCGAAAAAAATGAACATCTTTGAAACCAGTCAAGAGTTTTTTAAAAATTACGTTTTTGATCAAAACAATTAAAAGCTAAAAAATTTTAATATTACTATTTTTTATTTAAAAATTCATTTTTTAAAATCGCTATTTTCAACATTAATATTAAAAACTTTAAAAAATTGTAATTTGTAACTTTCTTTATATTACAAAAAAACTTTAAAACTTATAGGTATTATTATTTTTTTCAATTTTTAATAATATTGTTAAAAATAGCCGGTTTTAAGTAACAAAAATGAATTTTTAAATTAAAAAAATTCCATTAAAAATAGTAAAATTAACCTTTTTGAGATGTCAGTTTGGTTTAAAAAAAAGAAATTTTTTTTTCAAAATAACGGATGGGTTTCAAAAATTTCATTTTTATAAAAAAAATACATTTTTTCAATTTTCAATATTTTAAAGATTGTCAAAAAATTAGACTACAAATGATTATTGTCAGAATTTATAAATATTTCTTTAATATATATGAAAATGTAATTTGTGTTTCCCTTTAAATATTTTAGACTTATTCTTAGAAGTACAATAAGTAAGAAGAAAGAACTACATGCATTACGCAATGCAAACTAAGTAAACAGAAAATTATGCATTTTTGGTTTGTATTATATCCATCTTTGGTCATTGATTATTATTTAAGAAATACGTGGATGCAGTTTTTACAGCTTTCCTGCTGTTTTTGCTAAACCTATATATAAATTTTATTTTCAATTTTAATTTCATTTTTTTTATTTCTAGTGTGATTAAGATAAGTTTATAAAATTTGCAGATAATTTCTTTTTTTCGATAAAGTGTTTAAAAGTGTTATTTTTACATAGTCTTAAATAAAAAAATATTTATTTCGATTCCAATTAAAAAATTTCAATTTAAAACATTTATATACTAAAAAAATTATTTATTACTACTAATAAGTTAAATTGTTAAGAAGTTTAACAAAAACTTGTTGTTTAAAATTTTATTATTATTAATTTATATTATTTGGATACTTCTTTTGATCAATCTAGAAATAAAACAATTGATTTTACGTTGAAAATTGAGTATTTCTTAAAATGTTTAGATACTTTGTTTGAGGAATTTTGACCAATTCTTTCTGCTGAAGCACAAATCTAATGTTAACAAGCAACTTACACTTTTTTCTTTCTGAAAATTCTTTGATAAAAGAATCTGCATTATAATATAAGTTTTAAGCTAGAAAATACTGACATTAGATTACAAGAAAATAATGAGAAACAAAATAAACAGAATAATACTAATGAATAGAGTAATTTAAGAAATATCTAGCCTTAGTTCTTCGTTGAAATTGAACAGCTTTGCTGCTGTTTTTGTTGTAAATAAAGAAATGTCGATTTTAAGTTTATGCCGCGAAATTCACACGTAACTAAAACATTCTCTTTTATAAGAATTCATACATTTTTATAACCTAAATTCGGTAACAGTCATAAGCTAGAAGAGATTGACATCTAATCACAAAAAAATACTGACGATTACTTAAATCTTTGTTACACTCTTCGTAAATTTCTTTTAGAAGATATTATTATTTTTTATATATTTATATTATATCTTTCCAAGATAAAATTAACGTGTCACGCTTCTTCAAGATTAATCATTTTCGAATTGCTGGAAAAAATAATACAATTATTTTTTATTTTATTTGTTTATCTAAGGGAACATTGTATACTTACTTCTTTTGTTTTCCATCGTAACGGATCTGATTGAAAATTGGTCGCATAAAATCTTTCATTCTTTGGAAAACATAATATTCAGCCAGACGTTTACCTGCGATAGGTGAATCGGGGTTTTCCGTCATTTGTTTGGCAATTTCTATAATAAGAAGAAGTTATGATAATTTTAAATAACAAATTGCTGTGTTATTAAAAGAATTTGTCGTCGCAGTGAGAACCACCCCTGAAATATTTTTTAATATGTTAATTTTTAAGATACATAAAGATTTTTGAGGAAATAATACAAAAAGACAAAATTTTAAAATTTTTGAACTCTAAAATGTTAATAACTCTAGATAAAGTAACAGAAAATATTGAGTAACAAGTCACATTGTTGAAAAACGATATACAAAATGATAAAAAAAATATTTACAGTTATCAATAAATTCTTTTGAAATTTATTGTCGGAAAAAATCTGTTTTAACTACTTAAAATGCGAAAAATAATTTATCTTTGATAATATGACTCAAAGTATTCTCATTATTTGTCCGCCTGAGTGACCTACAATTTTGAAACAATTATAATTTTTTTCTTGTATGATGCGGAATATTTTTGGAAAATTTAATATTTTTACACACACGTGATGTAAATAATATATTCATTAAATATAAATAATCAACTATTCAGCTTCGGCCTCGCGAGCTACTAACATTGTAGGCCGATTATAGTAGGTTAACTTCAAATTTATAAAATTCTTTTTCCGTCAAGAAAACTTACTTAAAATGTCACTGGTATGCTCTTGAGTTATTTTCACAAAATCGTCTTTACTGACTCCATCTGGCAGTCGACATCCAACCACTGTATGGACTTCGGGATCATAGTATCCCAAGACTAACTCTTTGAGACAATCAGGAACTGATTCGCAGTGTTGAGCACTTCGATACTTGTCCTCATTTATTAGAACTCCTGCGACTTTAATCTACAGACAATATAAAAAGTAGTATTAGCATGTGTCATAAATTCATAAATAAATAAAGAGAACAGATAAAATTTTTTATTTTTTCTTTCTGTTCTTCTCAATTCATTTTAGTTTCATACCACTCATTTGAAATGTAATTTTATCAGCTTTGAAACGCATTATTACAGAATGTTGTACAATTTTTTTTACCAAAAATATGGTTTTAAAAAAACAACCCTTTTTTAAATTGTAAATAACATAAGAACAGCTGTTTTTTAAACAAAAATTTGTAATAGTATAAAATGTTCTTTTCCACTTATGGAATTAAAAAAAAATTCATAACTTTTTGGCAAAACAAAACTTTAACCTATCTGGACGTATTAGATTTCTGCACTTCAAAAGTAAATCATGAAAGAAAAAATTTTTGTCCAGAAAGTTACGAATTATTTTTTAAAGGAACATTTTATGGCATTATAAATTTTTGTAAAACCTAACTTTTAAGTCATTTACAATTAGCAATTTTTTGGTTGTTTTTTAAAACAATTGACTATATTTTTAGCCCTTAAAGTACACACTGCTGACGTCCAGGTGTTTTTTAAATATCCGCGACGTTTTTAAACGCATGCATTTAGAACCATCCGAATAACTTATTAGAAAACCTTTGAGTGACTGTCGTTGAAGGTCTCTGTAGCAACTACTACGTTTTATTTAGTGAGGATCAATGAGAGAGTTATGCTCATAAATGTTCATAGCTATAGGTATACTAAAGCATGCTGTACACAGAAAAAACCTAGTCTCATTTTTGTTGCAAATCAAAATGAGCCAATGTTAAACGACATAGACAGTGGCGCCACCAACCTGGTTCATTTTTGTTGCACATCAAAATGAGCCGCCTACACGGCTCATTCTGAGTTCAGTATTTTTCTGTGTAGTATATCTATAGCTATGAACATTTATGCGCATCAATCTCTTATTGGAGACTCACCTTGACTCCCCACTTCCAATCTAAGGGCATGTAAGATATTCATGAACCCATCTTCCCCTTCTTACGTAAGTTTTAACAAAGAGTTCGTTCAAAAAGCGTCAAAAATGTACACTTTCTTAGAAAAAAAATTTCAATTTTTAGTAAAATCTTAAGTAAGAAAAGCTTCCCCCCAACGTAAGGCCATGTAGAAATTCTGTAAACCCCCTCTTCCCTCTGGACATCAAAAGGTATGTGAATGAATGTTGAAATTAGCGTGACGTAATTTATGGACGGCCCCTATGTATGTACCGAACATAAGTTTTTTAAATGTACATTAGAGTAGAAGCGGGCAATGTAGTGCACACATTTTTCGAAGACTCCTGTAGTCGCAATTTTCCACGGATTTTGATTAATAAGGGCTCGTTAGAAAGACAATGCATCCAGGTACATTTTTGCTGTATATTATTTTTTGTGAAAGTAGATGGCACTTTGCTGTATCCAAAAAACAAATGTTACTTTTTTCAACCTTCCAAAATTTGTGGGGCAATGTGGTGCACCACTTACTAGATAGAAAAAAATACCAAAATACGTCAAAAACAATTGCAAATGTATTTATTTAACTTGGTGAGTAATTATTAAACACAGAAAAACCAAAAACTAAGTCTTTCATTAGTTCTGCACAAAGTACACAAAAAACCTGCAAAAATTTGCAGAAAAGGGTAAAAACGATAAAAAAAAGTTTTTTTAACAGCGACACTAATTTCAGTGCATTACAATAACTTTGGCAACACACATGTGAAAAAAACATACATATTTATTGAAATCTACATAATAAACTACATTGTCTTTAACCAAGTGCACTACATTGCCCCAAAGCCCATTTTTCATGTTGACCTCAATATCTGGGCCGAATAAAAATATATCATTAAAGCAATTCCAGATTTGTTTTCAGCGATAAATTTTACTTAGAAAAACACTTGTCCGATGATTCTCATACGAATCTTATATTATCCTTAGAGTGATAAAAGAACAAAAATATTGTTTTAAAAACTCTAATTTTAGAAATAACACCATAACTATTTAAAAAATGAGCTACGAAAATCTCAATGGCCTACAAAATAATCATTTCTCATAATACATCTTTCATATCGATGGCAAGCAATTCCATTAATTCACATAGTCAGTGGAGCCAATGCACTACATAACCACCTTCTACTCTAGTAGAAAAAATTGTAAAATAATTTTGTACAATGCGTTTTTAAAATGATAGAATTTGCTTTCAAATAAATATTATAAAGTTAAAACGGTATGGTTTTTTTCAAAAAAATTTATCACTTTTAAATGACCAAAAAATTAAAAATTTTAACTTTACCGTAACAATAACAAAACAGTACAAAATAATTAAAGAAACTTTTTTTATAGTGTAAAAGTAGAAGATATCAGCTTTAAAATGAGCACTTACTAATATTTTTATAACTTAAATAAAAAATTTAGTGGACTTCGCTTATAACAAACTTCAAGGGACCGTTGAAATTTATGCTGTAATTTCAAAGTGTTTTCTATTTTAATACAAAGTAATCAGTCATTAATAATTAGCCTTTAACCTTTATCTTTCGGAATGTAAATTGATTTTGTAATAATTTAAAATTATTTAAAAAATATATAAACATTTCGAAAAAGTTGTTAGAGGGGTAAAGCGGGAAATGACTTGTGGGATAAAGTGGGAAGTAGGAAAATAATGTTGTAACGAAAGTCTCAACGATAAAAATTTCATTTTTGATTATGACAACGAATAATTTGATCGAGTAAATTTAGTACATTTCAAGAATCCACGTGGAAAATCTATAAATGGTGAATTTGACAGATAATAACTTTTGATTGAGATCCCTAATGACCAACACAACATTAAAATTTTTAAAAAGTTCCCACACAGCACAGTATATTGCTGTAAGCTTACCTCAAGCTTACATGTAATTTTTGTAAGCTAACCCTGTAAGCTTCAGGTAAGGTCGAGGTAGTATAAAAATGTCCGCCATACAGAAAGCTTACACAGTAAGACCATAGTAAACTTACATGGCAAAGTCACTGTAAGGTTACAGTAAGCTTACACGGCAAGTTTTCAAAGGTATCAATAAATAATTTTTTAAAAATATTTATGCGCAGTAGCTTTCTATGGCACTTATGAATGCGCAGTAAATTTTTTTAAGCAAACCCTACCGGCGTTTTTTATATAAATGACAAAATAAATATAATTGTGCAAAACAATTTATTGTTTACTGTAAGTTGATAAATTAATACTTTGTTATTTATTAGCAATTAATATAAGCTTACCGTGTAAGCTTACTGTAACCTTACAGTGATCTTACCGTGTAAGCTTACCATGACTTTACCATGTAAGTTTACCATGGCATTACTGTGTAAGCTTACTGTATGGCGGACATTTTTATATTACCTCGACCTCACCTGAAGCTTACAGGGTTAGCTTACAAAAATTACATGTAAGCTTGAGGTAAGCTTACAGCAATATATTGTGCTGTGTGGGTTTGAATTATTTTTATTATAAAAATTAAATATGTATTAAAAATTTTTAATTAAGCAAAATATATCGTCATTATAATTTTTAATTATCTTTGTTTCCAATGAATATAGTCGATTTCTCACTTTACCCCACAATTTCCCGCTTTACGCCATATTGCAATTTTTTGAAAAATATTAAAAATAATAATAAATTTTATTTTTTAAATGTATCTATACGGGATAGTTAACTCAAACTCTAATCTTTAATATAACATTTTCAAATTTTAATAATTTTAATTTTTACAACTTTTATGGCATGAAACATAAACCTATTCCCACGGTACCCCAATTTCCTCTAAAAACGAATTTTAATTCCATAGGTTTAAAGTAGCATTGAAACCAAAAAAATGTACTCGTTATAACCGACCTGACGTTATATCCGTGCTCGTTATAAGCGAATTCTCCAGTAAATTACAAAATTTTTTGCAATGTCTATAATCGGTATTATAAGGTGAACAAAAGTTATTCGGCGGCTTTTTATACCTTCTTAGTTTTGTCAGGTTTCAGTGATTCTCCTTCAGCATTCTCGGACAGAATTTTCTTCACACCATCAACAAGAAAATTTAATGAATCTGATGTTTCTTTTTCGAAATCACTTGACTTTTCAGTACTCTTAGTTGATTGTTCCTTGTTAGTTTTATATAGTTCCACTTCTGTGCACAGTAAAATTATTTCTTCTGCTTGTTCTGCTACCAATACTTTCAATTGTTTGATTTCCCAATCTTTGTCAGCCAGTGTTTCTAATGTTTCTTCCGACTGTAAAAGAGAGTTAAGTATATACTGAGAATAATATGCTGTAGAATTAATAGCTATTATATCTTAATAGCTATTAATTTTAATAGCTATAGCTAAAACTATAGCTGTTCTAATAAAAATATAAAAATTATTAATTATGTAGTATATGCAAGGGAATTTATATTACAATTGGTTCTTTTCATAAATATGCAACAGTTTGTTGATGAATAACTCGAAAACATATGGGGCACTATTCTTCACGCCTTATAACAATAATTTATATTTTAATATGGAAAATTTCTAGTCTTTTTAATTAAAAATTTTAATGAAAATTTAGGTAATTATTAGAGACTCTTTTCACAGAGTGAGATGATGTAAATTAAATAATCGCGAAGGTTAAAAAAATAATTATATTGGCATCTACGTAGAACATCTGGAAATGATGATCAACTAACCATCAATCGTCTTCTTTATGATTTATGAGTGGTTGATGATGATTTTGAAAGTCGATCCCAATTTAAAGAGGAATGAAACACATGGTCAAAGTAAATAGAATTGATTGCAATTTTGCAAAATAATTCACTTTTATACAATGATAGCGCTCCCTAAATTTCAGAAGTTTTGACTAAGCAGTTTAAAAGTTAATTATTTTTTAATTTAACACGCTCTCTTATGGGAAACCACGTTTTCACGTATTTTGAACTAAAAAATAATATTAAAAGTAAAGAGTTTTGTATGTAAAATATGTACAACAGAGGTGTATATTTAAGCTTCAATAATTAAAAAAATTTCCGGTATTTACTGTCTTCTTTTCAATAAATTAATTTAATTCGAAAAAAAGCCACCTTTTCCATTGTGAGAAAACTGAAAGTTCCGTACAATCAGTACTAAAAATTCTGCTTTACTTTTACAAAAATGTTAACTTCTTATTTTTAATATCTTTTAATGTTGTAAAATATACTTTCTAGTAAGTTATATGAAGTTATAAACAGATATATGAAGTTTAAATTTAAAAAAAATATAAATTACCAAATATGTCACAAACTTTTGGATTTTTTGTGTATCATTCCTCTTTAAGGAGGGATGTTTATTCTTACTTGCATGCTCCTTTCCAAAAAGAACTCAGAACGATTCCTCTCTACAACTCTTAATTTTACAGCTTGGATCTCGCTATCCTAGAAATTAAAAAGTTGTTCTAGTTTGCAGCAATAGAAATTGAACAATTTTTAGTATTATTATATTACATTTTCTTATAAACGCCCCATTTTCTAAAAAATGAAAAACATCATACAATATAAAAAGTATAAAATCTAAAACTTTTTATCTATTAAAAAGCGATTAAACTATGAAAAAATAAGACCTATATGAAGTAATTTTATATAGTTTTTGATGAGATATTATTTAAAAAAGTTTGATTTTCAATATTTTATAAAAATTTGAATTATACTTTTAAAATTATTAAAGCATTGTAATGTTCTTAGGTTTATTTTAAAGGTGATTTCCTACTGCGTGAGAATTAATTATGAGCATTAACATGTACTTATGTTGATCAAAGTTGAACCAAAAAAGTGGGATAATTTTTAAATCAATTTTTAAGCACAAGAATAATAATTTTAATTCGGACAAAATTTTATTACGCAATTTGCTTATAAAATGTAAATAATGACCCGTTTAATATATTGTACAGAATGGTTTTCGGTAAAAATAAATGAATGATACATTTTTGCACTTTTCTGTGTCCAAATTAATTAATTTACAATTTTTAATGGAAACAGAGCATGTTGATACTCATAAGTGATTCTTATATGTATGTCTGTCCACAAAATTTTGTCCGGGCATCACTCAAAAACGGCTCAACATATGTGACGCTTCACGAAAGAAAGGACCTTTCCCCGAAATAACATTAAGCTTAGTTTTCATTCACTGCGCACGGGAAACTAAACCTAATGATATTTCTGGAATAAGTCCTTTCTCTGGTGGAGCGTTAAATATTGATGTCAAAGTTGGCAGTCTATTAAGTATCAGTTTAACTTAAATTTGTAGCCTCACTGGATTAAAATTGTATATATTTTTTAATTTCAATTTTCAAACAAGATTGAATATATTCTCAATATGCATATATAGCATAATAAGTTTTTAAAATAAAGAAAAATTGGTTAAATACCAATCAAATTTAAATACAGCTCGTGTTATTAAAATTATTTTTATAATTACACAGTTTTAAGCAATGTAAAGATAAAATTATAAACCGATTAGTAGGCTCTAAAACCCGTCGAAGACCTCAGCTAGTAATTAAAACATACAATAAATCATATGTATTATGCATTACTATAAGCACATTTTATTATTAAAACAAGTATGTTTCTTATAAATTCAATCATTTTGAAATTACAATTGTTAACTCCGATTAAGCAAACAAAAAAGTACATTGTTACACAAGTTTTCTTTAAGTCTCAGAACAAATTGCAATTTTTAGTTGTAAACGTTCCTTTCTTTCTAGTAGGGGAGCCCATGATGCTAAATGGAGATTTACTCGAGCGTTGTCTAGACGATGAAATTTTGTAGTTTAGTTTATAAGAAAAATAAAAGGTTCTATAACGGTTTTCTCTTTCAGTGGTGGGGATAGCGTCTACAAATGTTCAAAGATGTAAAAAAAACAATTAGATGGAAATACTCAAGCGTGTCAGATATTAATTGTTTAGTTGACCCAACGCGTTTCTCATATTGAAGTATGTTTACCTGACGATTTGCGTGGTGGGGGTGGCTCTCCAGATGGTTAGAAAATAGAAAAAAAAATTTGTTCGAGCGCGTCAGATATTAAAAGAGGATGTTGATTGAACCCTAAAAATGCTCTCATTCAAAAGACTGACGTTTTGGAATTGCGGCAAGCTCGTAACGCAGTCTTAAAAATGTAAAAAAAATCGCTATCTTGAAATACTCGAGGGCGTCAGATTTTTATACAGAAGGTTCAGCTTGATGTTCCAGTCAAGATAGCCAAAAATATGTTCACTTTTTGACTCCCTTCTACCCCCACGTAGACTAACGTAAACTTTTGTGGAACCCCCTCCCCTCTAGCCCGTGTAGAACGTAATTTTTCAAAATGCATTTTACTTCCTCACAGGTAGCTTCATAATGATAACATTTTTTGGATTTCTAAATAACATATAGTCGGGATTATTATGTCGGGATGATGCTGAGAGTCAGAAATAGGAAAAAGTGAATAAGAAGGAAAGGTACGGAGTGGGGATACACGTTGTATTCCCGCTTCGCGCTCTAATTTTGATAGACTATTTTTCATCACTTCGGCTTGTAAAAATTGGCAGATTATATTTTACTCATAATTATTGTGCTATTTTCTTTAAAATAAAGAAAAATTTAACCTCGCTCAAAAATGTCAAGACAACGTTTCTTTACAATTTGGTAACCTTCTCACCATCTTACGTTATGCTGAAATCGTCAGAATTTTTAAGTGAACATTTTTTAGCTAGTAATTAACCCACCTTAACTTAATCTGACGCGCTTAAAAATTTCCGACTACCGATTTTTTTTACTAATCTGGTGGGCTATCATAGACGCACGACTTTACAAAAAAGCTAATATTTGGTGGTGCTCAACTGCATGCAAGCTATTCCCCCTATGATTATCTGACGCGCTAGAGTTAATCCCAAAAAACACATTGGGCTCCCCTACTATTCGTATGTATCTTTATTTAGCTCGGCATACACACTCTGTTTAATCTCATGTTCAGGTTCAGACGGGAATAAGAAATATCCCTATTTACAGGTGGATAGTTAAAAATATGCTTTTTATTCTAATTATATAAGGTTAGAAAGTTAAAATTTTCTTACTTTGTCTTTCAGCACTTGTTCTGCATTCAGTAAATCTGAACATTCCCCCACCTCTCGTTCTGTTTTACGCAAAATTTTCTAAAAAACAATTTTAAGAAATATAGAACATTGTCCCATAAAAATTTGAAATGCTTTCATTCTAAATCTCCCCATATTATAAAAAGATTTCGCCGTTGGGTTCAGTACCGCCCTCCAACAGTTACGTCAAAATTTAAATCAAATTTGACCTAATTTTTTACATAAACGTGCCCTACCGTTCAGCTCTTCCCTCTCCGCTACGTCAATCTTTTGGTCAAAGACCTGATTTAGCCGTTTACAGCCCCCCTCTTATTACTAAAGATGTGCGAATCAGAGTTTTTAGGTCTCGTATCGAATGGAATTAGATAAAATTATTTTGAATCAAATCGAATTAAATGAAAGATTGATTCGAAATCGAATTTATTTCGAATCAAGCTTTCGTTTAATTTTCCAAAAATAATGTTAACTTTAATAGACGAAGTTATTAAATAAAAATACCAGAAAATACAAATTATTTTTTAGTTTATATTATTAAGGTAAATTGAAACCAAATTGATAAAATAAATGACTGAGTCTGAATTAGTAAGATACTACTAATGAAACAGTGAGAAATCGTTAACTATTTTCATAAATAGTATAATACTAATTTTTAGTAGAAAACTACTAATTTGACAGTAACATATCAACCAATTAAAACAGTGAATTTTTACATTTTTTACATTCTCATCACATGAGAAGGTATTATAATTGGTCGAAAATTGACTTTTACTATTTCCATGAAATCTTTACGTTTTGAGGTGCCCTGAGTCGAAAAAACATGGTCCAGCGAAAGTGTCTGTCTGTGTCTGTATGTATGTATGTATGTATGTATGTATGTATGTATGTATGTATGTATGTATGTATGTATGTATGTATGTATGTATGTATGTATGTATGTATGTATGTATGTATGTATGTATGTATGTATGTATGTATGTATGTATGTATGTATGTATGTATGTATGTATGTATGTATGTATGTATGTATGTATGTATGTATGTATGTATGTATGTATGTATGTATGTATGTATGTATGTATGTATGTATGTATGTATGTATGTATGTATGTATGTATGTATGTATGTATGTATGTATGTATGTATGTATGTATGTATGTATGTATGTATGTATGTATGTATGTATGTATGTATGTATGTATGTATGTATGTATGTATGTATGTATGTATGTATGTATGTATGTATGTATGTATGTATGTATGTATGTATGTATGTATGTATGTATGTATGTATGTATGTATGTATGTATGTATGTATGTATGTATGTATGTATGTATGTATGTATGTATGTATGTATGTATGTATGTATGTATGTATGTATGTATGTATGTATGTATGTATGTATGTATGTATGTATGTATGTATGTATGTATGTATGTATGTATGTATGTATGTATGTATGTATGTATGTATGTATGTATGTATGTATGTATGTATGTATGTATGTATGTATGTATGTATGTATGTATGTATGTATGTATGTATGTATGTATGTATGTATGTATGTATGTATGTATGTATGTATGTATGTATGTATGTATGTATGTATGTATGTATGTATGTATGTATGTATGTATGTATGTATGTATGTATGTATGTATGTATGTATGTATGTATGTATGTATGTATGTATGTATGTATGTATGTATGTATGTATGTATGTATGTATGTATGTATGTATGTATGTATGTATGTATGTATGTATGTATGTATGTATGTATGTATGTATGTATGTATGTATGTATGTATGTATGTATGTATGTATGTATGTATGTATGTATGTATGTATGTATGTATGTATGTATGTATGTATGTATGTATGTATGTATGTATGTATGTATGTATGTATGTATGTATGTATGTATGTATGTATGTATGTATGTATGTATGTATGTATGTATGTATGTATGTATGTATGTATGTATGTATGTATGTATGTATGTATGTATGTATGTATGTATGTATGTATGTATGTATGTATGTATGTATGTATGTATGTATGTATGTATGTATGTATGTATGTATGTATGTATGTATGTATGTATGTATGTATGTATGTATGTATGTATGTATGTATGTATGTATGTATGTATGTATGTATGTATGTATGTATGTATGTATGTATGTATGTATGTATGTATGTATGTATGTATGTATGTATGTATGTATGTATGTATGTATGTATGTATGTATGTATGTATGTATGTATGTATGTATGTATGTATGTATGTATGTATGTATGTATGTATGTATGTATGTATGTATGTATGTATGTATGTATGTATGTATGTATGTATGTATGTATGTATGTATGTATGTATGTATGTATGTATGTATGTATGTATGTATGTATGTATGTATGTATGTATGTATGTATGTATGTATGTATGTATGTATGTATGTATGTATGTATGTATGTATGTATGTATGTATGTATGTATGTATGTATGTATGTATGTATGTATGTATGTGTATGTATGTATGTATGTATGTATGTATGTATGTATGTATGTATGTATGTATGTATGTATGTATGTATGTATGTATGTATGTATGTATGTATGTATGTATGTATGTATGTATGTATGTATGTATGTATGTATGTATGTATGTATGTATGTATGTATGTATGTATGTATGTATGTATGTATGTATGTATGTATGTATGTATGTATGTATGTATGTATGTATGTATGTATGTATGTATGTATGTATGTATGTATGTATGTATGTATGTATGTATGTATGTATGTATGTATGTATGTATGTATGTATGTATGTATGTATGTATGTATGTATGTATGTATGTATGTATGTATGTATGTATGTATGTATGTATGTATGTATGTATGTATGTATGTATGTATGTATGTATGTATGTATGTATGTATGTATGTATGTATGTATGTATGTATGTATGTATGTATGTATGTATGTATGTATGTATGTATGTATGTATGTATGTATGTATGTATGTATGTATGTATGTATGTATGTATGTATGTATGTATGTATGTATGTATGTATGTATGTATGTATGTATGTATGTATGTATGTATGTATGTATGTATGTATGTATGTATGTATGTATGTATGTATGTATGTATGTATGTATGTATGTATGTATGTATGTATGTATGTATGTATGTATGTATGTATGTATGTATGTATGTATGTATGTATGTATGTATGTATGTATGTATGTATGTATGTATGTATGTATGTATGTATGTATGTATGTATGTATGTATGTATGTATGTATGTATGTATGTATGTATGTATGTATGTATGTATGTATGTATGTATGTATGTATGTATGTATGTATGTATGTATGTATGTATGTATGTATGTATGTATGTATGTATGTATGTATGTATGTATGTATGTATGTATGTATGTATGTATGTATGTATGTATGTATGTATGTATGTATGTATGTATGTATGTATGTATGTATGTATGTATGTATGTATGTATGTATGTATGTATGTATGTATGTATGTATGTATGTATGTATGTATGTATGTATGTATGTATGTATGTATGTATGTATGTATGTATGTATGTATGTATGTATGTATGTATGTATGTATGTATGTATGTATGTATGTATGTATGTATGTATGTATGTATGTATGTATGTATGTATGTATGTATGTATGTATGTATGTATGTATGTGTATGTATGTATGTATGTATGTATGTATGTATGTATGTATGTATGTATGTATGTATGTATGTATGTATGTATGTATGTATGTATGTATGTATGTATGTATGTATGTATGTATGTATGTATGTATGTATGTATGTATGTATGTATGTATGTATGTATGTATGTATGTATGTATGTTGTATGTATGTATGTATGTATGTATGTATGTATGTATGTATGTATGTATGTATGTATGTATGTATGTATGTATGTATGTATGTATGTATGTATGTATGTATGTATGTATGTATGTATGTATGTATGTATGTATGTATGTATGTATGTATGTATGTATGTATGTATGTATGTATGTATGTATGTATGTATGTATGTATGTATGTATGTATGTATGTATGTATGTATGTATGTATGTATGTATGTATGTATGTATGTATGTATGTATGTATGTATGTATGTATGTATGTATGTATGTATGTATGTATGTATGTATGTATGTATGTATGTATGTATGTATGTATGTATGTATGTATGTATGTATGTATGTATGTATGTATGTATGTATGTATGTATGTATGTATGTATGTATGTATGTATGTATGTATGTATGTATGTATGTATGTATGTATGTATGTATGTATGTATGTATGTATGTATGTATGTATGTATGTATGTATGTATGTATGTATGTATGTATGTATGTATGTATGTATGTATGTATGTATGTATGTATGTATGTATGTATGTATGTATGTATGTATGTATGTATGTATGTATGTATGTATGTATGTATGTATGTATGTATGTATGTATGTATGTATGTATGTATGTATGTATGTATGTATGTATGTATGTATGTATGTATGTATGTATGTATGTATGTATGTATGTATGTATGTATGTATGTATGTATGTATGTATGTATGTATGTATGTATGTATGTATGTATGTATGTATGTATGTATGTATGTATGTATGTATGTATGTATGTAGACACAAAATGTTGTTGACACAATAACTTTTGTAAATCGAATTAAATCGTTTTGCAATTTTGCATACACAAAGTTAGTATCAAAATACGGGTTAAGTTCGTTAGCCAGCCATTTTCATCAAAAAATGCAAAAAGTGCGGGATTTTCAAAATTTTGAAATTTAATTTTTTTAAAAAAAAAATTTTTTTCACTACACAGCATTACAGTCCAGGAAAAAGAAAACATTTTTTTTAAATAAAATTTTTTGATTAAATTAAAATTGTAAAAGTTACAGTGGTTTAATTGTCTAAAAACACCTAAAAAACGCCAAAAAACACATTTTTTATGAAAAATTAA